CCAACTGAGAAACAGAACTACAACCAGTACCAGTGAGAAAGGTACATATATGTTTGAACCTGCCAACACGGGCCCCACCAAAGCTATCTATTTCCAAGCGTCGTGGTTGGAACAGCCTGGATAGGATTCCAGTGAAATATTTCAGGCTCTCAGAACCATAGAGACTGCCTCTTAGTCCAACACTAGAAAAGTAATTCACCCTTGTATATGAAAACAATGTCCTAATGTTCCCAAAGAAGGAAATCAATAAATAGCATCTGCAAAAGAGGAGTCAAAATAGCAATAAATGTATATTTAGAAAAAGAAAGTCAAATTTCAGGAAGACATAGCCATTAAAAGTCCTTGCCTTTGAGGGTGTACCCAGGAGGAAGAGAAGAAGACATGAGGAACGTCTGCTTTCCTTTACAAAGCTGATGGAAACTTTTAACTATGCATAGAATTATTTTGAGATATATATATATATATATATATATATAGTCACTGAACATAACAATACAAAAGCAAAACATGTAGCTACTTTTTTATCTGCTGTCTGGTGAGTAGAATTACATCTTTCTTTCTAGATGGAGAGAAGTTAAAATTTGGAAGATTAATTTCGCTGTGAATTGGCTACAAAAACACTGAATGTTGCCACCTTATTGGTGCTGTCTTCATCTTGAGCTATCTTTTGACTCTTTCCTTATAAATAGTAGCATGTCTCTTATACTAAACTCCTCACCTCTGGAAAGAAGAGAAAGTTGCACTAGTTTCATTTAGTACACAGAATATGGTTCAGTGAGTTACATATTCTTCATGAATATTGTATAAATCAATGAAAGGATAGGAAAAAGGAAGAAAAGAGAGGAGAGAATAAGAAATGGGGGGAAGCAAAAGGGGAAAGAGGGAGGAGAAGAAAAGGGTGGAGAGAGGAGGGGAGGGGAGGGAGAAAGGAGGGGAAGAAGGGGAAAGGCAGAAGAGGAGAGGAGAGGAAGAGTAATTCCACATGAGATTACTGTTTCCCAGAGATTTCCTGATTTCTCTCTTATAAAAATTAAAGACAGCTTTATTTTGTGGGGGTGAATTCTTTTTCCAATCTAGAGCTAAGATGAGGGTTCTGTGGTCAGTAACAAAAATAAGTTGCCTTTTTACTCAATTTTCATAATTATCCCTAAGCTAGAGCTCACTTTCAATTTAAATCTATGGTATGTGGAAGGAAGATATTCTAAAATGCAATACTAGGCTAGAGAAAAACAAAGACAATCTGTTTAGCATAATAATAGAATTAAGTTACTCTTTTAAGTTTGCAGGTTTACATGTATTTTACATGTTTCATCCTGAGGTCAAACCACCATGGGAAATTCGGCTCCTGATTGTCTCCATTCTCCAGGCTTAAAACAGTGTCTCTCTTTTCTCCTCCCTGTGTTGCTGTAGAAGTACACATAGGTGGTGACAAAGGGTAGTCTATGAAGCAAGATATAACAAGGTGGTTGAGAAAGATACACTGAGAATGACATGAATAGTTTTTATCACTATTTGTAAAGTTTTGTGCTTTAAGTTCTACTTTAAGAAATGGAGAAAAGTTATGAATTTCCTCCTTAAAAATAAAGAAGTATATGACAAGATTTTCTTTGATTTCACATATTTCCTATTTAGATATTTTAGGTGTTGTATTTGGAATTATACATTATAATAAATTTCTGAAATAGTAAAAACATGTCCCACTTACCTGTCATTCAGCTTCTGCCAAAGGTGGTATCTCATGTAATGATAGCCCTGGACCAAACTCAGGAAGCTGACAATAGTGCAATCCCACACGATGCTTTTTCTATAAAGTCAGACAAGAATCATGGGTTCTTAATAAGAGAGTCTATGGGGACCATCTACAAACCCCATGTCCATCAGCATCCTAAATTAGAAGACCATCCATGCCCAGGGAACACAGCTAAGAGATATGTTTATTGGAAAGGATAGGACCAGGGAGATAGCTCAGTGGACTAAGGGCCTGCTTGGGAAAGTACAAGGATAGGGGTTCAAACCCCAGCACATGTTGTGGCAGCGATAGCCCCACCCCTAGGCATGCTAAGCCAGCCACTGACCCCGCGCGTGGTGATGAGTACCTGTAATCCCAGTGCTGGGGAGGCTGAAAACAAGAGGATCACTAGGAGTCTGAGCTGCACAGTGAGACCCTGTACCAACTACATTTAAAAAAAAAAAAAAAGACACAAGTCTTGATAGTACAGTTGGTTTGGGACAGGAAAGTAGAGTCCTTGGGAATGAGGTTAAAAGATAATGCAAATTATAAATGCACAGGTAAACTTGACATATTTGCAATAAAATCGCAGGTGGGCAAACTGAGGGTCTGGATTTAGCAAACTGAACCTAGATCTAAATGGAAAATAAAGGAGAGATTCCACATGGGATGGGAGTAAAGGCAGGAGTGTGCTTAGGGGGGTAATGTGGAAAGAAGAGAGCAGATGGAGAGTTCGTGACCCTGCTCTGACTTAAGACTGAGTGAATAAGGTTGGCTTTGAATCTTTCAACTGTGTATGTACTCAGTGAATGCAGCATACCCCCCAACAGCCATGCTTTATGCTGAGGTGACCCGGTACATGGAGACTGGCTAGCTAACACTTCTTTCCTTCCTTTATGATTCCTTTCTGCCATGATTCATTCAACGTGTTTTTTAAAAGCTACTCATTGAGCCAGAAAATGAAAATGGTATAGCTCCTACCATGGGCCAAATTGAAAAAGCAAATAAGATATTTTGTAGCTTTAAGGCTCTTCCAGTTTAGTAGATGAAAAGGCAGGTCAACAAGTAAGATGCAGCCTCATATAGACTTTAGCAGAGACAGAGTAGTGAGAGATAAAAAGCCTTACTTGTGTGTCTGGGAAAGGAGGGAACTGAGAAATGGGACTAAAAACCCATCAGAAGGCTATTGATGGCAGGATCCCGAATATAGGCTTATAGGGCTATTTCATGCAAACCAGTTCACTCTGGCTGCACTGTGTGGGTTACAAGCTACCTCATATCAATTTACAGCTGCTATTAGCCCCATTCTTTTCAGGCACTGAGCACATCAGGATTGGTTTACATCGTTGGATGATTGATGGCCTGTTGTTTTGCCAGATTGTTTGAGGGCATCCAAGGGTGGTGGAGATGTTGTTTTCCTCGCAGTCTGAACTTCAAGAAAACTTTTGGCTCTTATCTCCTTTTTCTAAGTCTCTATGGCCCACCTGTGTTAGCTGATTTAATTATGCCTATGTTGTTTACTTGCTACTTTTGAAGCTATTGTCATGTGGTTGATATTAAAAATGCACAATGACAGGCCTGCAGGCTTCCTCTGCCAGCAAACTCCCATCCACTGACATTCTCAGCAAGAGAGGTAAGGCAAGAGTGTTTAGATTTCCAAGTGATCATTCCTTTCTTGTTCTGACAAAGTTTGGCTACAGATAAGTTTGAGTTTTACTAATTCCTATCTCATAGTTCTTTTTGTCACAACCTTCTTAGGTTCCGAACAACCATGATCATCAAGCCAATGTCAGTTCCAGGTAACAGAAAGTGTTTAAGATCGCATGCCCTTGCAATGGGAAGTTATGAAATATTTAAAACAGTGAGTTTAGACTATAAGAAAGAGTAAAATGAGTATAATTGCAGACCAAGGATTTAGATGTATAAAATTTCATTGCTGGTCAATTTCAGAATAAATTCTCAAGTTTGGTGAACTTGGGGGGTGGGAGAGAGAGAGAGAAAGAGAGAGAGAGAGAGACAGAGAGACAGAGAGACAGAGACAGAGAGAGACAGAGAGACAAAGAGAGACAGAGACAGAGAGATAGAGAGACAGAGAGAGCTACTGAGAGTTTGGAATCTGAAGTCTGAAAGAACACTAGTTTGAACTGGACTCTAACATCATCCACATGACTTTGGTCAAATCATTTAATATCGATATCTAGCAAAAGTATGAGGGCCATAATCACCAGCATCAGAATTATAATCTCTGCCATTGCCATCAGCACCACCATCGTGATCGAAATCCTAACTTATCACCCCAACTCTATAACCACCACCACCACCACCATAACCACCAACACCATCACCAAAGCCTGAAGATCCAAGCTGACTTATATTCCTCTCCTATGAACTCTCAAAACTTCCTGGTCATAGAATATGTCATATCCCATACCTAGATTCCTCAAGGATATAAGCACCACGGTCCTTTTTACCATTGTATTGCCCTTTCTAGCAGTGGGGTAAACACACAGTAATCACTGTTAAGTAGAAGAGGACCACATTTACTAAGTATCCATTATATGCCATATGATTGATGAGTTCATTTCTAACCTTCGACCTTGAAATTTTTCCACTTCCATTTCTTGACTAAAATAATGAAGACTCTACAAAGGGCATGTGGTTCAGAAGCCACAGTGACAGTACCACAACACAGGTCTGCCCAATAATCTTTCCATACCAAGATGACTCCTTAATGAGCCAGAAAATGTGTTTATACATAATCTTCCTTACACTGATTATTCTAGACAATCAGACTTTTACTGTCTCCAAATGGTCTTATACGAGAGGAGAACTAAGGTTGGGGAGTGGATAGCAGATGGCCGAATGGTGTCAAGAACACTAAATTACATGGCTTTAGGGCTGCAAAGATTTTCTAGTCAAATTTCAGCCACTTACAATTAAGAAAGTACACATCTTCTTTAATTTGCAAAACTATCCATTCAGATAGGTGATGCTGAGAAGATTGGTCATGATGTTTCTGTTTGCTAAAGGCTGCTTTTGAAATCTCAGAGTTCTCTCAAAGAAAATCATAAGTATGGGTTTAAGTCACCAGTAAAATAAAGTATTTAAACTGGGTGTTCCTCAAAAATGCACAAAATAAGCATATTTTCAATTTCATCAGCTTCTAAGTGGCCTAGAATAGAGCAAAACATTAATAGGAGAGGGAGTTTTCTAACTCTAAAGGTCAGGTTAAGGGCTTTTACATAAATATTTGATCCTAGATGGCCACTCACACAGAGGTGGTGACATCTGCAAAGACACTTGGGGTGTTGTTTAGACCACAATATTTAAATTGACAGAAATAATACCTAGAGAAAATGACTGCCAACATTCCTCTATTTTATGAAAAGAAGTAGTTAAGAAAAAGACAATGTTGTTATAGACGTAAAGCATCACGTAGAACAAGAGCTGGATTTTAGGGATAATAATAATGGTGGTGACAAGGATGATAATAGTGTGATTGTTGAAAAGATCCCATATAATTTGATATTGTCCTAGTCACCATCCTAGTATGTCATTCACTTACTACCTTATAGGATTCTTATTGTTACTCAAATTTTATTGATCAGGAAAGAGAATCCTAGAGTTAAGAGATTTGTCACGTAATTAAGAATTACACCACTTGTTACTTAGATCAGCTTAATTGCATTCATTACCTTTGCACTATCTCTGAGACAGTCTCCAGAGTAACAAGAAAGCATCTCATATCGGTAGCAATAATATTAGAAAGAAAATGTTCCAATAGATATGGCTCCATATCCATGGCCAAACCCTTCAGCCACGAAGAGACATGTTATCTCTAAGGGGAAATAAGAGGGAGAAGGCAAAAAATTCTCATCTTATCTTTACTCCTATCAAATTTTCTAAATAGAAACAGATTTCCAGCTAGGTCATTTACCTACTGGCATCACTTCTACTGTTGGAGCTCTCAATACTGAGTTCAAGATCAACAAAGGCCAATCTACATGAACTCCAGAATCCATTTACTTCCCTGCCCCTATATCACATACATTGTGTGTGTGTGTGTGTGTGTGTGTGTGTGTGCGTGCGAGTGCTATTTTCTGGGGAAAGGATTACTGCTTCCAGATGAGGCTCAAAAAAGACTAAGGTACCCCACTACCACCACCTCCAAAGTCAGCTTTTCAGCCCCTGCACTCAGTAAGCTGAGTGCTCGGGAAGGCCACGTACTGTAGTAAGGGTAGTATTCATCCAAGAAACCACTCATTCATTTCTTCATTCACTTATTCACATGTTTTTAATTGTCTTATTTATGCACTGTTCCAATCTACAGGGATGTAGAGACAAATTAATCTTTAAAGAGCTTCTAGTATAGGAGGAAGAAAGAAACCTATGCCGATGATTTTAAAGCAGCCTATTACAATTTCAATAATGAATATTTTCAAGCTATGAAACAGTGGAAAGATTCAGAAGCAGTTCTTAACGATGGAATAAAGCAAGTATGGGTAGAAAGTTACTTTGGGCAGAGGAAAAGACCAGCCCAAGTGAAAGCAAACAGTATGGTGAATGAATGAAGACATTTCTAGCCTCCTAATTTCCCTAGAGAATTAAAAAGCCAGGAAAAATTAAAAAACGAGCCTGATAAGGCTGCAGGGCAGGTTAAAAATGACTGCCTTGTATTATATAAAGAAGAGACTCTAGTAAAAAGTTCAAGTACAGATTTAAGTATTCTAGCTACAGAATAGAAAATAAATTGAGAAACGACTTTTTTTTTTTTCACAACACAGCCATAAAATAATGCAAACTTGAACAAAAGAGGAAAAAGAAATAGACAAAGGCAGAGCCAGGAGAGAGAGGGAAGTAGAGTCATGATAGTACCCACATCTTTTGCCAGTAGACGGGTCTGTGTTACTCTGAATTTTCTTCCACGTTTCTCCAGAGCTACTGCAGATAGAAGATGCTCATATTCTAATATGCTGAATGATTAAATGAACAGTAGGGATAAGGAGATGGGGTTAATGTTTGAAGAACTTTTAAAGTATGGGATTAGAAGTACTGGAAATAGATCCAATGTGGAAGGTGAGGAAGAGGGAAACAAGGCAACTTCTAACATCACAAAACTTGAAGTCAGATATGGGTTAACGTCTACCTTCTGAAATAATACATCTGGAATAATACATCTATTCTGGGACAACAGAAGTAGGAATAGAAGGGGCAGCAATGGTTCAATATGAGATGATCTAAAGATAGAAGTAATTTTTGAATATAAAGAAGAGGGTAATAGCAAGAGAAACAGAGGAGAGAGAGACATTGAACCCCAAGATGGAGAGACAGAGAAAAAAAAGAAAAAAAAAAAAAAAAGAATTTGTTTTGGATGAGGTAGATTTTAGAGGCTGAGAAGTACATAAAATATGAAGGAAGATGAAGGCCCAGATGCAGACAGCAGAGAGAATAGGACAGAGAAAGAGAGAGAAAAGGGAAGGGGAGAGGAAGGGAGGGGGAAGGGAAGGAAGGGAAAAGAGGAAAAAGAAATATACAAAGGCAGAGCCAGGAAAGAGAGGGAAGTAGAGGTATGGCAAAGCAGTAGGAGCTTAGAGAAACACAGTAGATATTAATGGTCTACCTAGTAAAGCCAGGTACACAAGGGTGTGGTACTATAAAGTAGATGAATAGGCTCCATAGGATGAACAGAGAAGAAAGGAGGGAGCTAGAGAAAAAAGGGATAACCTAAAGCAAGAGGCCCTCTCAGAGAGGAGAGAGAGGGACAGCAGATGCTCTCTTGCTGCTTAGACACTACCAGTTCAGGTCTGATCTTCCCTAACCTTGTATTAATCTGCTGATTCATTATAAGACTATGTTGCCTCCAGGCATCCCTGCTCAACAAGATGCCAGGTGCTTAACAAGCCTAGAAGGGACTATCTCTTCCCTTACTAAGTCCAGTTCTTTCACTTTGCTAAATGTGTTCAGTGAGGATTCTCTGGGAAACCCCAGAGACAGCAGAATTTTGATGTCACATCAGGAGGATTTGCCCTCGAGACTGCTTGGTTCTGGCTGAGGTGATTAGCTGGGCCAAGAGGCCTCTTTCTGGAAAGAGCATTGCTGACAGCACTCCATGTGATAGATGGAAGGGATCAGAAATAACGAGACTAATGAATAAGCAATCAGTCTATTCTTGAATCTGCTATTACTGACCTTCTAATTGGGTGTCTCAGAGTCCCCTGGGGTTCCCTAAACTACAGCACTGTTCCCAGAAAGACTCAGTAATATTGGCTGGAGACAAAATAATACATAATAAGCATTCTGATTGGAACTGATGGCCATTCCAAAAGTAGATATGTTGCCCTGCTGTTTCTCTTCCCTTCCGCTGAAACCTGTGAAAGCTGGTAACAGAAAGTTCTCAACTAAAGAACAAACTTGTGTTTGAGTCCTAGCTCTGCCAATTCCTCCCTGCTTAGCTTCCACTCTGATCCTGTTTCCTCAACTAAAATTAGGGTTAATAGTCCTCACCTCATATGGTTTTAGTAAAGACTAGTTCCAACATATGCAAATAGCCTGGCACATAGTAGATTTTCAATAAATGATAATTATTATCAGCATCAGCATCATCTTTGGCAAGGCTAAAAAAGACTGGCATCCTGACAAACAAGAAGCCAGAGCTACATTTTGAAAACTTCCACCCAAGTATGCATTAGCTCTCATTAGAATTCTCATTAAGTTCTAGTAATGAGAATTGTGTGAGAAGACACTTTTCAATCAGAAGGAAAGAAAGTTAACTTTCAATGACATCTCATTTTTGTCTTCTTAAATTTGGTGAGTGTTAAGAGAAATCAAATGAAACATCTCTCTTGCAATGACCCTTTCACCTAACAGTGATGTCTTATCGTATTTTTTCACAAAGGTAGTTAGTACCTGTCTTAGGTATTTTCTTGTTGCTGGGACAAAATACCCAACATCCACCAGATACAGAAGGAAAAGTTTACTTTAGCTCACAATTTGTAAAGGTTTCAGTCCACAATCAGCTGGCTCCAAGACAGGACAGCACAGAAAAGTAGCAGCAAGCGGAACAGGAGGGAAATCTCATTTTTCCTTCTCTTTTTATTTTATCAGGCTAAAAGACTACTGGATGGCTCCACTAACACCTTGGGTGGTCTGCAATCTTCAGTAAATCCATCATCCACACCCACAGCTAACCAATCAGTAGGCTAATTAAATCACATAGCCATGATCAAATCACATCCCAAAAGTCCCACCTGTGAGCACGTGAGGCTTTATGAGGACAATTAGATAGATGCTCCAAGGACACAAGCACCAATATTTCCCAGAACTAGTGGGCCCCACAGTAATTGTGAATGTTCTGACTATGGGAGGGAACTTGATATGGGAAAGAGGGCTTGGGAAAGAGATTGAGGAACTAAGGCCGCACTTTGCAGACTTGATCTAGAGTGTTCCTTTATATAGGCTTACTATGTGGGATGAGCATAAAGTAAAACCTTTAAAGGACCATCCTTGTGTAAGCAGTCCTAGTACCAAGATCTATGAATTTATGTGCTGGCATCTAAGTCTGAAGGTGCTGAAACTGGACACACATATGATTTTGCTTTATTTTTTTGAAGTATTTCTATTTTTAAATTTTATTTATTTATTTATTTATTTTGCTTTTGATGCTGAGGACCAAACCCAGGGCTTCCAGCTTGCTAGGCACGCACTGTACTGCTGAGCCAAATCCCCAGCCCTGGCTTTGCTTTAAAAACTGATAAGTTGATGCACACAGAATCAAGTTGTCAATAAAGAAATGTAATGCCTTTAAGAAATCTTTGAAGGGCTGGCCAAATAGCTCAGCTGGTTAAAGCACCTGCAAGCAGGCTCAGGAGCCAGGGGTTTGATCCCCGGGCATGCTGTGCTGGCCCCACCCTGGAGCATGCTGAGATAGCAATTGAGACTGGGCATGGTGGTGCACGCCTGTAATCCCAGCACTTGGGAGGTTGTAAACAGATGAATCACTACAAGTCCTATCTAGTAATGAGACCCTGAACACCCTGTAGACCTTTCCCTAAAATACAACCAAAAAAAAAAGAAAAAGGAAAAAAAGAAAAGGAAAGAAATCTTTGAGGTCCTGGGGCTAGTGAGATTGATCTGTGGTATATGTGCCTACCTGGCAAGCACAAGGACCCAGGTTTGATCCCTGGTACAACATGCCATGCCAACCCCGGAACCCTGGGTGTGCTATGCCATGCCTGCCACCAAAACCAGGCATGGTAGCACATGCCTGTAATTCCAGCACTGTGGAGGCTGAAACAGGAGAATCACTATGGGTACAAGCTGTAGAGTGAGAGCCTGTACCAAACAAATAAATGAATAAATAAATAATTTTTTAAAGAAACCTTTGAAGTACTAATGGCATCTCTTTTTTTTTTCCTTGTAGGTCTTCATGTAAACATGTACAAGTACAAATTCCTTACAATGAACATGATCATAACACATACCTAAATTGTACCAAGACACTTTATGAAATCTCTTTTTAAAAAAGTATCACAATATCATTATCATTGTGGAAGAGGAATTTACAATTCCAACTTCCAAAATATTTCTATTCACCAAATTATTTAAAAATGAATATTGGGATGTATGGAGCTTTCTGGGTGCCGTTTAAGAACTTTGGCAGACTCTGGGAAAACTGGGGGACTCGGATAAGCTCTGACATTTGGTAGCCCCCAGTGCACAGACATGAAGCTTCTGCTGGTGTCGCTTGAAACTTTTAAGAACTTAGGAGAACTCTGAGTGGCCTGTGGCATGCAGGAGAGCTGCAATCTGTGGTCCCAGCTTGAGAAGGTGTTGAGTTTTCCTGGAGCCATTTAAGAACTTTGGCAGACTCTGGACAGCCTCTGGGACTCTATCTGGGTGATTACTGGGAGCTTCAAAAATGCCAAAATGCAGGAGCAAAAGGCAGTCTCAGTCCTCTAGACCACCCAAAACAAATCCAGGAGTCAAAGACATACAAGAATTTGGAAATCACACACTTGAAATCTCTGAAATGATAGCAATTGAAGTAAAGAAACAAACTCATCAGGCCATAGAAGAAATAAGAGCAGAAATAATTTCTCAGGTCAAAAAAATAGACAATCATGTTGCGCACGACCTTGCCAGCAAGGAAGACGCAACACACAGCTCTTCCTTCAGCAGTTTATTCAGGCCCCTTACAGCAAGCTTCTTCTCTCCCAATCCCCCAGCCCTTGGCTAATATATACTCCCGAGCCCAATCCCAGTGCGCCACATGGGGATCGCCCATGGGTCCAGCATATGCGGAAGCGAATCATGACAGCAGCCCTGGCCATATAAGGAGTTGTTGTGCACAGAGAGCGCTCACCCATGGGGGATGGAAGGCAGAAACCAGTGCCATCTTGTAGGTGCGGTCCTTCGCAGCTCTCCACAGTTCCCCCTTTTTGTTTTGCAACAGGCAAGGGCAGTGGTCCGATCTCTGCTGTGCAAAGGCTCTGTAGCATTGTGGTCCAGGCGTTCTCCACCCAGAGACAATGCAACTTGCCCAATACCCATTTTCCGCAGACGTGGGGCGTTTAGGGCATCAAACCCACATGCAATCAGACGTACCCTTCTTGGCCTTCCAGCTCCACTGGGTGCCAAGTGCAGTGCTTTGCCTCACAGCCTGTGCTACTTGGCTGGCTACTTGGCCAGGGTGGCCAGCCAAGCCCCAGGGACTGTCTGATCTCGACGGCTGCAAAGGCTTGGGCTATCATGACTGCATCCCGCTGCCGCTGAGACCTCATGTGACAGATACACCACAAACACGCCAGGGAGAGCAGCACCATCATGACAGTCAGGGCCCCCACAACATAATAACAACAATGCCATCAAGCCCGACCAACGGTTTATCCAACCTGCAGCCTTAGCTATTGCATGCCATAAGCTCTCTGCACCCATAGGCGGTACCCTTGTAGCATTAACCGCGGCAATGGCGTGACTCAACCGCAGGGTATAGTTAACAAAAGAAGCATTCCAGGGCCGACACAAGTATTTGTTGAGGGCCCAGAGTTGGTCGCTAGCATTAAGCACTTTTGCCAAGGTAACACAGATCTCAGAGAAGCCCAAGTTACACATTAATTTTTGCTGTATGTGTAGGATGTCCACCTGCTCCTGCAACAGAGCAATTTGCTAATTAAGTGATAGGATTCCAAAATGTTTGTCCATTCAAAGTCTCTTGCACTTGTAGAGCAGCAGTGATACCAAAATCTCACTTTTCCCGGAACAGCTGGAGCTGGAATCGATTCTGCTCCGGGGGGATCTCCACTGGCATTGGCACAGCGGCGGGAATGCGCACGATGACAGCATGAATATGATATTTGGTCCAGCAATTACTTAAGCTGAAATTACCAACTGAACAATTTAGTTTACCCTCTCCTCCCCCAGTTCCATTCCACACTACAAAGAAAAAAGGGGGACAGCAGGCAAGGGGATGAGGAAATGGGGAACTGCTTTTCGCTGGTTATATTCACAGTTGACTGTACTGATTAGCAAAGCGACCTTGACCTAACAGCATAACTCTATCCCATGCAGGGTTACCTGCAGCTTGATTGGCAGCTGCTTCCTCACCTGCAAACTCAATTAGAAAGGTTCTCCCATCAAGATATTGCCCAGGGCTTAAGCACGCTCGGGCTACACCACTCCAATCCCCAGGGGTCATGCAGTAGCGGCTAAAGGCTTCCACCTGGGAGACAGTGAATGTGGCTGAAACGCCGTAGGTTCTAACAGATTCAGCCAAGGACTTTATCATCTTGAGGTCCAGGGGATCATGGTATCTATTACCTTGGGCGTCCTGAAAAACAGGATACGCCAAGGAAAGCTCCAACCGGACCATCCTCTCCAAGGTTTTCTTCTTTAGTTTAAGCTTTTTAGAATGAAGTAGCTCTTGTAGAGCCAAAAAATTGGGTGCAAAGTAGATGCACCCATGATTCAACTTATACTTTCACTTCAGAGTTCGCTCGTAGGCAAACTGGATTCGCTCGTAGGCGAACCTTGGCGCTCCTACTTTATCTGCAGATAGGAGCCCTAAACCCCGCTTTTGTCGCGGATCCCCAACTTACCTGGGGACTTACCGGTGCACCCCCTGACCGCTGAAGGTTCTGAGCTGATGGCTTAAGATGGAGTTCCCCGTACGGGCCACCACTTGTCGCGCACGACCTCGCCAGCAAGGAAGACGCAACACACAGCTCTTCCTTCAGCAGTTTATTCAGGCCCCTTACAGCAAGCTTCTTCCCCCCCAATCCCCCAGCCCTTGGCTAATATATACTCCCGAGCCCAATCCCAGTGCGCCACGTGGGGATCGCCCATGGGTCCAGCATATGCAGAAGTGAATCATGACTGCAGCCCTGGCCATATAAGGAGTTGTTGTGCACAGAGAGCGCTCACCCACAGGGGGGTGGAAGGCGGAAACCAGCGCCATCTTGTAGGCGCGGTCCTTCGCAGCTCTCCACACAATCATGAAAGAATTGCTCGGCACAGCTAAAGGAGACATGGATAGAAAAATACAGGAGATTTTTAAAAAAGAGATAAGAACAAAAATTTAAGGTTTCTTGAAAGAAAGTGGTAATATCCAACCATATGTCCAATCTTACATAACTATATCTGCTAATCTGAGGATATTTGATGATAAAATGGATAAATATCAACCATTGTTAATCAGCTATTCTAGGTTTGAAGATCTGTAATATATGTACTGTTGTATGTTGCCCTGTTTCTTTCTTTGTTTCTTTGAATTTTGCTCTCACTTTGCCTTTACTTTTCAAAATAAAATTAAATTTTTAAAAATGTGAGCAAGAAAATAAAAGAAAAATATAGGAGAATAGAAAAATGATGGGAACACTGAATGAACAATACAGGGAAGAATTAAAGTGCACGAAACAGATTCAAAAAATATCCAGTATATTAACAACTCTGTTGAAAGCTGCAAAACTGCTTGAATGAAACTAAAGATAGACTTTCAGACCTCAAAGACACTGTTGCAGGTAATGAATGTGAAATAAAAGATCTCTTAAAACTAACAAGAAACCAGGAAATAACAATTCAGCAGCTACAAGATGATGCAAAGAAAAATAATATAAGAACAATAGGTGTCAGTGAAGCAGTGGAAAACATCACAAGTAACATAAAAAGACTATTTGCAGAAGTACTAGCAGAAAATTTTCCAATCATGAGAAAAGAACCTGACATACAAATAAGTGAGGCTTATATAATTCCACACATCCATAATCACAATAAATCTACACCTAGACACATAATAATTAAGATCTTAGAAGTTCAGCAAAAGAATATTAAATGCTGCTAGAGAGAAGAAACAGATCATTTATAATGGAAAGTCCATCAGAATCACAGCAGATTTCTCAACACAAACCATCAAATAAAGATCTTGGAGTGAAGTATTTCAGGTGCTGAAAGAAAATAACCTCCAACACAGATTGTCATATCCTGCAAAACTATCAAGTTCAATGGCAAAATAACATCCCTTCTTGACAAAGAACAATTGAAGAAATTCATGACCACCAAACCAGCCCTAAAAAGAGTACTCACAGATATCCGAGAAAGAGAGAGAAGTGATCAAAGCTTTAAGAACAACAGAAAGGAACCACCAAACAGAGCAACTAATTAAAAATAAGGAAACATTAAAGAACCTGGAACAGGAAAACAACTTGACAAAGATAAGCCAACATGTATCAGTTATAACCATCAATCTAAATGGCTTCAGTTCACCAATCAAAAGAAACAGACTAGCAGAGTGGATTAAGAAACAAAATCCAAACACATTTAATTCAAAAGGTGATTCACAGACTAAAAGTCAAAGGATAGAAAACAATCAGGAAATCAGGAAAAAGCAGGAGTAGCCATACTAGTTGCTGACAATATCAACTTCAAACCAAAAATCATCCAAAGGGATAAAGAAGGTCACTACATACTTGTTAAGGGAAAATTGCAAGAAGAAGATATAACAATGATAAATATATATGTACCCAATGTAGGAGCATCCTCCTACATAAGACAAATTCTAAGAAACATGAAAAATCAAATGGGCAATAATACAATAATAATGGGGAACTTTAACATGCCAAAGTCGCAAAGAGATAGATCAACTAGGCAAAAAAAAAAAAAAAATCAACTAAGAAATAACAGAGCTAAACCAAACCTGTGAAGAAATCAGCTTGGAAGACCTTCATAGACTGTGCTACCCAGCAACAACAAAATAAACATTCTGCTCAGCTGCACACAAGACCTTCTCCAAAATAGACCATATATGAGCATAGAGCACTCTTAAGTAAATGCAGAACAATTAAAATTATCCCATGCATACTATTGGATCACAGTGCAAAGAAACTAAAAGTTATTGACAAAAGAAATTACAAAAACACCATGAACACATGGAAATTAAATAACAACCTCCTAAACAGCCAGTGGTTCACAGAGGAAATTAAAGGAGAAATTAAAAAATATTTAAAATAAAACAAAAATGCAGATACAACTTAATGAAACCTGTGGGATGCAATGAAAGCTGTCTTAAAAGGAAAATTTATATCAGTAAATTTGCACATTAGGAAAATAGAAAAAGCCCAAATGAATGATCTTATGCTGCACCTCAAACTCCTAGAAAAAGAAGAGCAAGTCAAGACCAAAGCCCAAAGAAGGCAGGAAATTTTAAAGATTACAGCAAAAATTAATGCATGATGCAGATGAAGAAAACAATATGAAGAATAAATAAAAGAGTTAGTTCTTTGAAACAATAAATAAAATTGATAAACCCCAAGCCAACCTAATAAAAAAGAAAAGAAAAAAACCCAAATTCATGCAAAAAAGAATAAAAAGGCAAAATCATACAGACCCTAGAAATATTAAGAAAATCAATAATACCTACTTCCAAAATCTTTACTCTCAGGGGGTGGAAAACACAGAGGAAATTAACAGTTTCCTAGATACATATGAAATGTGAAAGTTGAGTGAAGAAGATATAGAAACTCTAAATAACTCAATAACAAGTAACAAAATTAAAGATGCAATAAAAACCTACCATCAAAGGAAAGCTCAGGTCCCAGTGGATTCACAGCTAACTTCTACAAGAAATTTAGAGCAGATTTAATGCCAAGTTTTCTCAAACTCTTCAAGGAAATAGAAAGGGAAGCAATTCTCCTAAACTCAATCCTGGAGGCAAGTATTACTCTAAATCTAAAACAAAGGAAAGATCCAATTATAAAAGAGAACCACAAGCCAATTTTTCTAATGAATATAGATGAAAAAAATCCTCAGTAAAATACTAGTAAACAGAATGCAGCAAATCATCAAGAAGATCACACATCACTATCAAGTGGGATTCATTCCAGAAATGCAGGGATGGTTCAACATATGAAAATCCATAAATGTAATACACCACATCAATAGAACCAAGAATAAAAACATGAACATCTCAATAGATGCAGAAAAAAAAAACTTTTGACAAAGTCTACTACTCATTCATGGTACAAACCCTACAGAGAATTGGAATAGATGGTCTATATCTCAACCTGATAAAAGCCATCTATGAGAAACCAACAACTAACATCATACTAAAGGAGAAAAAACTGAAGGCCTTCACTTTAAAATCAGGAACAACAAGGATGTCCACTGTCTC